CAGTAGAATTGTTGGTTTTACATCAGAACTAACATTTTACTGTTCTATATAAGTAATCTGAGTTGATGTGAATTGAAATTCAGACGCGAGTTTTATCTCATTTAACTTTGACGCTTGTTATAGGAATAACCACAATCAAGTGTAACTTATGATCTGTTCAATTTGTGTAAATAAATGATTGCATAGTCTTTTATGAATCAACTTGAACTCATCTGAACATTCACTTATTGTGTCACTTTTCACTTCACACAGTCAAGATATTAAAGTAATGAGAAAATACCTTGGTAAAGTTTCCTCATTACCTTGTGTATGAGAGATGTGGGAAAAGCTTAATTCACTTTAAGTTCACCTTCCTACATCCTAAACAAATATAAGGTTAGGGTTATAAAGACTTTTGAATTAAATAAATTAAGATGTCATGTATTAATTATAAAGCAGTTATTTGAAAAACACAACTTTTTAAGATTTAACAGACACATTATGTGTGTTATCACAAAGTATCAGTATCAGATCAGTATCACTGAAACCAGACACATTTTACTTGGTATCAGTATGGGAAATAAAACTGGCAGTACTGAACATCAGTACCCTCTGATGTCACCTTTCAGCTGCTGCAGATAAATAAAAACTAAAGTCTGAGTGTAAAATAATGTTAGTTTATTCCTACAGTTGTGACTAATAATAACAACTGACTTCTTCTGTCAGTCAAGTAGAGTTCAGGTTAAATATAATTTCATTCAACCTTAGAAGTCCCTGGACTTTCTGAGCTTTGTCCAGAGCCTGATGGGCCCTTCTGGCCCTTCTGGTCCTTCTGGTCCTTCTCCTCCCATCTGCTGCTGCTTTAATCTGAAGTGTTGACTGGTGTAACCTTGAAGCCAACAACACTCAAACTCACTGTGTTTGACTGTGTGAATGGACAGAATAATGCAGATTTACAAGCAGAGGCTTGAAGAGAAGAAAGGCAGCCTGAGACATCTGCTGCATGAAGAAGCTGTTCTGCACGTCTCAGCTCTAACCTGTGGTCCTCCTGCTAACAGCTCAGTGCAGACATGAACCAAAGCAAACGGCTGGTGTTTCATGGGGGAGAGGGGAGTCTCTCCTCCTCCTCCCCCTCTCCACGGTGTCTCAGCATGAATAGGAGGCCCCTGTAAGCCTCGGGCCAGAACAGATGAATTGAGAGGCTTTTAATTTGCTGCAGACAGAACCGAACAGAGTCCATTTAATTCTGCCAGCAGAGGCCATGTCGGCAAAACGCTGACTATATTCTTTATCTGGTCCAAACACACTGGAAACGTGTGAGTCACTCCAATTACAGGCTTTATCTGCAGCATGGAGAGAGAGAGAGAGAGAGAGAGAGAGAGAGAGAGAGAGAGAGAGAGAGAGAGAGAGAGAGAGAGAGAGAGAGAGAGAGAGAG